CTTTTTTCAATATTGGAAGACTTTTTAGGTCTTCTTTTACTCTTTTGTTGTAAATGTGTCTTTAACACAGTAGATATTATTACGTATTTGTGGTAGGGGTAACTTCTAGCAACAATGAAGCATTGTTTGTAATTCTATTGTGTTATATCCCTGATTCAAAGTTCATTTCTTCAAGGATATACATTTAAATATTCTTTCTAAACCTTTAATTTCTACAAAGTGACCTTCTCACTTTTCCAAAAATATCAAACTTTTTTGAAGAATAATTTATATACAATAAAATGCACCATTTTAAAGATATAGCTCTTTAAGTTTTGGCAAATGAGTATACCACGCCAATAAAGATACAGAACATTCTGTAGGCCTACTAGGCTTCCTCATGTCATTTCTCCATCAGAACCCACACCCTGCCTCCAGATACTCCAGATTTGATTGTTACCTCTGTAAATTAATTTTGCTGGTTCTAGAACTTCAAATAAGTGAAATCATACAGTGTGTACTTTTTGGGCTGGTTTCTTTTACCTAACTTATTGTTTTTGACCTTTACCCACATTGCATTAGTAATTTGCTCCCATTTATTGCTGAGTAGTGTTCCACACAATGAGAGTCTACCTTGGGTTGCACAATTTAGCAACAACAAACAAAAACACACAAAGAAAACACACAATTCAGAAAAACAACGCATTTTGTTTTAGAATAAGCATGTTTCATGAAATATTTTGGACATACTTATGTTAAAAAATTATTCATTATCTGAAATTCAGATTTCACTGGGAGTCCTGTATTTGATCGGGAATCCCTAGATCTATCACAATTTGCTTATCCAGGCAGCTGCTGATGAAAGTTTAGATTGTTTCCAATTTTTGACTATTACAATGAAAGCTGCCATGAATGTTCATGTACAGGATATTTTTGTGGTCATGTTGTCATTTCTTTTGGATAAATACCTAGGAATAGAATGCTGAGTCATAAGTTTATGTTATAATGGACTATCAAATTGCTTTCTAAAGTGGTTGTACTGATTTCACTTTCATCCGAATGAATGAGAGGTCTAACTGCTTACATCATAACCAAAAGTTAAATTAGTTAATCTTTTTAATTTTGTCCATGCTAATGAGTGTGAAATGATAGCTCACTGTGGTTTTACTTTGGATTTTCCTAGTAACTTCGGGTTCTGGGCTTTTCTTTGATGGGATATTTTTTATTATTACATCTATCTTATTGCTTGTCATTGGTTTATTCAGCTTTTAGATTTCTTCCTGGTTCAATCTTGGTATGTTGTATGTATCTAGGAATTTATCCATTTATTCTGTTTTCTGATTTATTGTCAGATTTGGTCATAGTAGTCTCTACTGCTCCTTTGAATTTCTGCAGTATCGGTTGTAATGTCTCCTTTTTCTTTTCTTTTTTTTTTTAATTTTTTTTATTTCAGGAAATGATGGGGGTACAAACGTTTTGGTTACATGTTATGACTTTGCCACATCCCAACCATGATTTGAGGTAATGTGTCCTTTTTCATCTCCAATTTTATTTGGGTCTTCTCTCTTTTTTTCTTAGTCTGGCTAAAGTGTGTGAATTTTGTTTATCTTTTCAAAAAAACAACTTTGTGTTTTGTTGATCTTTTATATTGTTTTTTTTTTTTTAGTTTCAATTTCATTTATTTTAGCTCTGATCTTTATTATTTCTTTTCTTCTACTACTTTTGGGTTTGGTTTGCTCTTGTTTTTCTACTTCTTTGAGATGCATAATTAGGTTGTTTATTTGAAGTTTTTCTCCTTTTCTGATGTGAGCACTTTTTGCTATAAACTTCCTTCTTACTACTGCTTTTGCTGAATCCCACAGATTTTGATATGTTTTCATTTTCATTTGTTTCTGGAAATTTTTAAATTTCATTCTTAATCACTTCATTGATCCACTGGTCATTCAGGAGCATATTGTTTAATTTCCATGTGTTTGTATATTTTCCAATATTCCTTTTTCATTGACTTCTAGCTTTATTCCATTATGGTCAGAGAAAATACTTTTGTATTTTTTGAGTCTTGTTTTGTGGCCTAATATATGGTCTGTCCTTAAAAATGATCCATGAGCTGAGGAGAAGAATGTGTATTGTGCAGCCGTTAGATGAACCATTCTGTAAATATCTACTAGGTTCATGTGGTCTATAGTGCAGATTAAGTCCAATATTTCTTTGTTTATTTTCTATCTGAATGATTTGTCCAATGATGAAAGTGGAGCATTGAGGTCTCCAGTGATTATTGTATTGGGGTCTATTTCTCCTTGTAGCTCTCTTAATATTTGTCTTATACATATGTGTGCTTCAGTGGTGAGTGCATATATACTATGAATTGTTATATTCTCTTGATGAATTGATCCCTTTACCATTATATAATGACCTTTGTCTCTTCTTACAGTTTTTGTCTTGAAATCTATTTTATCTGACAAGAGTATAGCTACTCCTGCTCTTTTTTTGGTTTCCATTGGCATGGAATACCTTTTTCCATCTTTTTATTTTCAGTCTATATATGTCTTTATAGGTGAAATGGGTTTCTTACACACAACATGTAGTTGGCTCTTGTTTTTTTGTTTGTTCAGCCACTCTATGTCTTAATTGGAAAGTTTAGTCCGATCACAATCAATGTTATTATTGATAGGTAAGGACTTAACTCCTGCCATGTTGTTATTTGATTTCTGATTGTTTTGTGATCCTCCCTTTATTTTTTACTTGCTTCCAATCTTTCTTTGTTAAAAGCGATTTTCTTTGGTAGTGTGTTTTAATTTCTTAGTTTTTATTTTTTGTATATCTGTTGTAGGTTTTCGATTTTTGGTTAACAGGAGGCTTGCAAAAAGCATTTTATAACCAATTATTTTAAAAGTATGACAACTCCGGCCGGGCGCGGTGGCCTGTAATCCTAGCACTCTCAGAGGCCAAGGCGGGCGGATTGTTTGAGCTCAGGAGTTTGAGACCAGCCTGAGCAAGAGCGAGACCCCATCTCTACCAAAAATAGAAAGAAATTAATCAG